AAAGGGTAACGGCGGGGGTAGCCGAGTTTTTGGTAGCAGTCCTCCAAGGAGCAGGTTAACAAGGAAAACCACTGATTTTATATGTATATATATATATATATGTATGTAGCCAACTGCTGCCTTTTATATATATTTCAAGGCTTTTATATGTTATTTCCTCTTTTATGGTTTTATTTGCACAATGCCTAATAAAGGTTTGATAAGTAAGTAAAAGAGTGGAAGTTACTGGAAAACAAAGGTAAAAGAGAAGGCAACACTTTTAATATTGAACTTATATTAAACACTAACCTATAAAGATGGCAAAGATGGCGTAGCGTGGTCTAGGAGAAGGAGGAGGTGGTTTGTGAGAAAGGAAATACGTTTTCTGGTGTAACGAAGAGACTTTCTTCATCTAAAGTATAAGTAGGATTCCTAATTCCTTCTGCATTCTGTTTCTTTTACTATCCCTCAAGATTCAGAAACGTAGGGAACCAAGTCATGGTTAGATTAGTTTATAAAGATTGGCTGCGTGAGCTGCTGGTCTCCTGCTGTCACGTGCCAAAGATCCATCCCCTGGTCTGTGAGGAGGAGGAGGAAGAGATATTGGAAGAGAAATGGGAGGATGAAGTGATGGTTATGAAGATCAGAAGGAATCTTTAGTGAAGGTGAAAATAATTTATGTAAGACCAAGTGACCAGGGGATGGATGCCACTGATACCAATTTAGATGGGAGTGTTGATCTTTGTTCATCAGGAACAGGGAGGCCAGAGAAAATCCCGCTGGCTGGAGATCGGGGAGGCAGCTCCCTCATTCAAGAAGAATTCAGGGATGGGATGAGGACTTTGGGATGAGAAACTATTTGAGGATAGTTCAGACGAGAGGAGGAAGATTTTGAGGAAGCAAACATGTTTTTTAGCGCAACGAATTGACTTTCTTCATCTAAAGCGTAAGTAGAATGCCTAAATCACTGTGCTACATGAAAAGGAAGAGGTATCGAACTTTTTAAAATAAACTAAACAAAACTGCTTAACCCACTAAAATATATATTTTTAAAAATGAATATTAAAGGGAGCCATGTCCCTTGTAAAGACAGGTAGCTAAAGTGACGGTGTCATGTCCTCCATTGTGACACGTTCTCCGGCTGACAGACTTGGCTGACAACTTTGGGAAGAGCAACTATTTGAGGATAGTTCAAAGAAAATAGGTTGTTGGTGTGAATTGTGTTTTCTGAAAAATGAAAATTTATTCATCTCGTGTATATGTAGGATCTCTTATTCTTCCTGCATTTTGCTACATTTGCTATCCCTCAAGATTCAGATATACAGGGACGCGGACTTATAAAAAATATTGGGGGGCCCGGGAAAGCTCATGAATAATAAATAAGCTCATGAATATGCAAATAAAGTGGCTCCGGCCCTAAATAGGCAAGCCACGCCCCCCCAGCCAGCCGATTGGCTGGCTGGGAGGTGTGGCCAGTCGGGATTCCCCTGTTCTCGCGGGGGCTGAAACCGCCAGGAGGAAGGAAATTCCCCCCGGCAGTGCCTTGGCAGTGGCGGTGGTGCTGCGAAGCAGCGAGGCAGGAGCCCCCACCCCCGGCGCCCGAGATTATTGGGGGGCTGAGCCCCCCCAAAAATTTTTTTGAGGGGGCTCGAGCCCCCTCAAGCCCCATGGGGTCGGCGCCTATGCAGATATATAAGGAACCATATCATGGTTAGATTAATTTTTAAAGATTGACCTCAGGACCCTCTTAGATCCTTTGAGGGAAATGGCTTGCCTTCTCCCTTGCGGGCATCACCACAAGAAAGGGATCTCCCAGTTCTGGAGGGTCTCTTGACAAGATGCCCTCCTCTCTGGTTTCAGCTGCTTGCTGCAATCGCCATGAGAGGTTTCTGAAAGTAGGTTTATCTGCCAGATAAAGAGTATCAAGGAAGCATCTAGAACCCATTTCCTGACTATTTTCCCTCTTCTTCCCTAGATTCTGCAGTCTGAGAAGGCTGGGTGAGCTGCTGGTCTCCTGCTGTCGTGCCACAAAAATCCATCCCCTGGTCTGTGAGGAGGAGGACACAGTGAGTGTAATGAAGGATGGAAAGGAAAGAAGGGTAAAGGTGAGAACGATCTACGTAAGGCCAAGGGACCAGAGGATGGATACCACAGATGCTACTACCAATGGTGAGTGTTGATCTTTGTTCAGGAGGAACAGGGAGGCCAGAGAGAATCTGGATCACTGAGGGTGGGGGGAGGCAGCTCCCTCATTCAAGAAGAGTTCAGGGATGGGATGAGGAAGGGAGGAAGGGAGAATAACGCAAGCCACCTGGAGATCCTTGCAGGAAAGATGGGTCATCAATGTAATAATTAATGAAAAAATTAAGAATCTTTTCTCTTCATTTCTCTTCAGGCAGTGATAGCAGTGAGGCCAGCAGCTCCAGTACAGCTCTACCCCGCTCCAAGACCCAGTTCTCCCTTCGCCCCAAACCCAAGTATCTAAATAAATAAATAATAGGGATGCGGGTGGCGCTGTGGGTTAAACCACAGAGCCTAGGACTTGCCTATCAGAAGGTCGGCGGTTCGAATCCCCACGACGGAGTGAACTCCCGTTGCTCGGTCCCTGCTCCTGCCAACCTAGCAGTTCGAAAGCACGTCAAAGGGCAAGTAGATAAATAGGTACCGCTACGGCGGGAAGGTAAAGGGCGTTTCCGTGCGCTGCTCTGGTTCAGAAGCAGCTTAGTCATGCTGGCCACATGACCCGGAAGCTGTTCATGACCGGTCCGCCAATAAAGCGAGATGAGCGCTGCAACCCCAGAGTCGGCCACGACTGGACCTAATGGTCAGGAGTCCCTTTACCTTGATATATTTCAAAAACACTGAGTCTCCAGTGTGGTCTCTCGTCACAAGGAAACAGACTTTATAAAGAGGCAACCTTTCAAACTTCTTATAAATGGAAACTGGGGAAAGCCCCCTCCAAAAGAATAGACTGTGCCCAGTGACTAGCTGATCCACATGCCTGTTCAGTTGACGCTCTAGATGCCTACTCAGTTGTTCTCCAAGGCTGTTGAAAGAGAGAATGGCCAGTGTGGCAGGCTGTGCGAGCTGCTGGCCTCCTGCTGTCGTGCCCCTAAAATCCACCCCCTGGTCTCCGAGGAGGAGGAGGAAGAGATATTGGAAGAGAAACGGAATGAGGAAGTAAATATAATTAAAGAAAGGTAGAATAGCGTAAGCCACCTGGAGATCCTTGAAGGAAAGATGGGTTGTCAACAGAATAATCAATGGAAAGATTAAAAATATTTTCTCTTCTTCTCTCTTCCGGGCAGCGACAGCAGTGAGGCCAGCAACTCCAGCACAGATCTCCCTCCCCACCAAGACCCAGTCCCCCCCTTCCCCACAAACCCAAATAGAAAAAAAAAAAAATCATCATCATCATTATTATTCTAATCAAGTTCCTTTACAAACATGCTATTCTGTGATCATCCTTTTATCCTAGGCGGTGCTTTTTCCTACGTTTGTGAGCATGAGTGGAAATCCTGAGTCTCGCTGCAGGAGTCGACAGTTTGGCTCCTTCCCTTGTTGGTGCTCCTAGATGGAACTGCGCATGTGCGAAGACAAGACAGAGCCTTCCAAACTGGATCAATAAACGTGTCACCCGTTGTCTGAAAACCACTGTCCTAATCACATGCCAGATTGTCTTTTGTGAATGAAATAAAATTCTTTCAAATAGTTTTTTAATGTTGTCATTTGTCTGTCTTGAGAAGCAATGGAGTGCGCCTCCGGGGGTGAGGTCAAAAGTCAAGCAACAGTGTCAGCAGTCCCAAAGTGACCTCTCCAGGGAGCAAGACTGGGCAGTGTGTCTGGAGGTCCTGGGCTTCCCAGATGACAAGACTCCCTCTCTTGGCCTTGCAGATGTGTCTCCAAGGAAAGCAGAGTTAGGCACCAGTTGGGCTGCAGGAGTTGTCAGAAGGGGTTGTAAACGGCGCCATCCAACCGCCTGAGGGACTCCACTCCAGATTTGTGTAGGCTTTACTCCTTAGCCTTTTCAGCTCCCAAAGATATCCCACAAGGCAAATTAGGATCAGAGTTTTCCTTCTCTTCGATGGGCTATCTTTATAGGTGGATGAGCCCCATCTGCCCCTCACTTCCCTCCACAGCATTGCAGAAACCACCTTCTTGACCACTGGGCCCACGCTTGGTCTTGTCCGCTCAATCTGCTGGAGCCCGTCTTTGCACACAGGGGAAGTTCCTGAGCATTTGAGACTCCTTGGCTGCTCTCACCTGGTTTAGGTGGCCAGTCAAACCGTTCCCAGGATGTGGCCTCTGTCACATGCTGACCGTTTCTAGGAGCAAGAGAACAAACTTTTTATTAAAGAATGGAAATGGTTTAATGAATAGTTACAAACTGTAAACAGATAAGAACATTGGCAGGATTATTGGAATAACCTGCAGTTGAATAAGATTATATATTTAAAGCAGATGCATAAATGAAGAAATTGAGGTAATTTGGATATGCATAAGATATGAAGAATCAATTTAAAGAACTGCAGAAAGAGGGGGAAGGAAGTCAAGTTTTGAAATGTTAAAATGACTGCAAAATCTGTTTACCTGCAAGCACACACCTTTATTTTTATTTTCTTATTTAGTACAAATTTCTCAATCTAACAGATTTGCACATAGGATTCTGTATCACATGAAACGGCACATTTGTTTTGTTCTATTGTTACATTATTTGTGGCCTTCTAACACTTTGGGAGAAGCCTTCTCTCCCTTTTCCCTTAAAAAATGAGGATCTATGCTTTACACTCAGCAGGAAGGCCCATTTAAAAGGAAACATGTAGTTGTTTTGCTGCTGCTTTTTTGTGTTCTCAGGTGTCCAAGTTAGCCTCCTGGCCCTGCTCCTCCACTATACCACAGCAACATCCCCCACTAGGAATCCCTACTTGGGCTTTCATTGGCCATCAGCAATATCCGGTGGAGCCAGGTGGAGAGAAATGCCCCATCTTGCCCATCTTTGGGGTTTCAAGAGGTATAGCCTCTGTGCATGTACAGAATTCATGATTCAGCAAATCTATTAGACCATTGAAAGAGTTATTTCCTCTGATTAAATTACCAAAGGAAGAAAGCAGGATTGGCTTTTCTCCCCAGGGACACAAGGAAGGGGAAGGTGTATGTTTAAGAAATGAAATTTCCCAAGGGCTGAAACTCTGTTCAGCCAGTTAAAAAACCCAAATTCTCTCCGTACAGTGCTTCACATCTGGCGGGCAGGGCTTGTGTGCTTTGCTCATGATCCCTTGGATGTCCTGAGGCTGTTAGAGCAGCAGCCGTAAGTCTTGGGGCTCTGGGAGGGAGACATTGTCCTCAGAAGGCAAAGAGTAACTGAGGTTCCCTTTTCTCTCCCTTGGAGGCCCTGAACCAGGAGCTGGCCAGTTCAGGGCCTCCATGGGAGAGAAAAGGGGGGCCAGCACTTGTGCTCAAATGAGCTTTCATACGCGGTCATCCTGCCCCACACTCACATTCCAAAATATCTGCATGCTCACCTATCCAAGAGGTGGTTGGTCTTGGGCTGGGGGGTCCCAGAAGGCAGAATAAGTTGAGAAGCAAAGCCCAAGAAGTTGGAGGCATCCTCTTCGCATCCACCCAAACCCAATCTAAACAGCTTTGCTCCAGAACCAGCCCCTCCCTTCAGTTCTGTTCAGTTCAGAATGTCAGTTAAGAGGGACCACCTGTATTTTCTTGATTCTTGCCTGAGGTCATAATGGGCATGCACACTGGTATCTGTTTACCTGTAAGCACACACCTTTAGTTTATCTTTTAAAAATAAAAATAAAATACTAGTTTCTCAGTCTACCAGCTTTGCACAAAACAGCAGCCGTTTTGTGATCCATGGCAGTGAAAACCCCACGTTTTATGGCGCCCCCCCCAAAATGAGGCTTCAGTGCCCTAACCCACAGGGTCACGATTTCTCCAAAGGTCCAATGTCATCTGATTCACTCCAAAGCAGCACCAAACACCCAGAGAATGCCCCCTGCAACATTGGGGGGGGGGCTTTGAAAACACTACATTTCCCATTGTTAGAGTGGCATACGAAGGATGAACAAGTTAAATCTTTTTTTTTTTATAAATCATTTTTATTCAATTTTTCCAATACAAAATTATACAAATCATACATCTTTTTTTATAATATCCACTCCCTTTTTGGACTTCCCTCATCCTGCCTGATACTCCTTCCACTTTAAGTTTCATACACATTTCTAAGGTCTTACTTCAATTATTCTTAAAACTAAAGCCTTGCTTTACTCCAATTCTAACATTTCTTTTTACAGAGCTTCATTTAAGCTTACAAGCGTTATTTGATTGTCACTTAATTTATGCATATATTCTTTAAATTTTTCCCAATCTTCTATAAATCTTTGGTCTTGCCGGTCTCGGATCCTTTCCGTCAATCTATCAAGTTCTGCATAGTCCATCATCTTCATTCTCCATTCGTGTAGTGTAGGCAGCTCCTCTTGCTTCCATTTCTGAGCCGGATGAACAAGTTAAATCAGTGATGATAGATTGGGCAAGACATGTAGGACATAACATAATGTTTGAGGATTGGGAAAGATTGTGGAAGAAAGGGGTCAAGTTCACTGCATGTACTGTACTAAAGGAAAACATAATGAAAATGATGTATAGATGGTATCTGACCCCTGTTAAATTAGCAAAGATTTATCATAACTGTGATAACCATTGCTGGAAATGTAAAGAAAACGAAGGTACTTTCTATCATATGTGGTGGACCTGCCCCAAGGTGAAAGACTTCTGGGAAAAGATTTATAATGAATTGAAAAAAATGTTGAAATATACATTTATAAAGAAACCAGAGGCCTTTCTTCTTGGAATAACAGGTTTGGAATTGCCCCCAAAAGATGTTAAATTATACACTGGGCAACAATTTTTTACCTTTTGAATGTTGTCTAGATTTCTACAATTGATTTAGGGTCTTTTTGCACTGCTGAATCAGGAAATGGCATCCGTTTCTCTCCATCAGGTCAGGTTGTTGTGCTATGTTGATTTGTAAAAAATCAGATCTTGTGACAAAATCGATTACATTTTGTGGCATTATCAGCTGATTTTTGTCAACACATATCATCCTAAATATGTTTTTAAGAGAAAATAATGTTTTTCCAAGAACATATATTGATTACCTGATAGAAACATCGATTACTGTAAACTGAATGGTGGGCATTGATAAAGGTAAGTACACATAAATTGCATGTTGCTTCACCATTTTTCAAACTTCAGGGCTTGAACTTCCGTTTCTTGGAACTCCTGGAATGCTCAGCGGCAGGGAGGTCTCTCTTCAGAGTCCAACAGTAGTCAGCCATCATGACTGCGTCCCAGCGACCCTGATACCTGGTCTCCATCTCTTTCATGTCCTGATGGAATCTCTCCCCCTGCTCGTCACTCATTGAACCCAGGTTCTCAGGAAAC